GGACATTTACCGAGGGAGAGTTTCTGAAGAGCTGCATGATGAAAGTGTGAGACGTCTTGTGTCCAGACAAAAAGCAGGTGTTTGTAAATGTAAGCCTTAGCAGAAATACGGTTGATTTTTAATTTATTTTGGAATAATATTGTAACCTGTCTGTTTCGATTCATATTTATGTTCAAAAAACGTTTAGTTTTAGTCTGTTCAATAAATGTTTATCCTGTTCGGCCCACGACCTAAAGTGTGCTTTGAGTTTTGGCCCCCTGTGTGATTGAGTTTGACACCCCTGCCCTATAGTGTCTTTCTGTTGACAAGAGAAATGATAAACAGCAGAGTTCTGCTCCTCCACATGACACTCCTTGGATCATACATCATCTCCATTCATCTAACATGCCTTCCACCATCACTTGCCCACACGCTGCTACTCCAGCAACTTACAAAGCAGGCCAGGCCAGTGTGTTTGTCAGACATATCTGCATCTCTGTAATTTGTCTGTTTATGTGTGTGTGTGCCTGCATCTCTGTGCTTCAAGTGTGTTTGATGATGATCACTAGGTTTACATTCAGGCCAATCCTGTGACACTTTTATGTCACAAGACTGAAAACATCAACATGCTGAGTCTGCAGCAAGGCACCAGTTACCAGAGAAACAATTCAGCCAGACACACAGTCAGCCAAGACACATTGTCTGAAACACACCAGCAAAAAAAAGTCATCTAAAATGCTGCAGTCATAAACACAAAATTAAAGGGTGAGTCACACTTACTGTGCTCGGAGTAGTTAAGTTAAACTTTGAAGCATTTACTTCATTTGTTTAGACAGGTGAGACCATTTGAATTAAACCAGAACTGCAGCAAATAACCATGATAAAATTCAGGAACCAGCAGTTTCCCACACTCAGAAAACCTTGCACAACAACAACAAGGGCCGAGGCAAAATTGCAGTCTGAAATGTTATCTGTTATTCTCTTTCTTCATGTGTTCTTAACTTGGATAAAAACCCGACATACATAACAGCAAAGCTCTGCAGACAAGCCAGTCATGCATAACAGTGTCCCACCACTTTCCTCCTTCTTCGAAGCCAAAACACAATGGTTGAAGTGACAAGTAACAGGCCACAGCTGTAAGCATGGGGTCATTCACTACACTTCCAAATTCACATCTACACAGATCAGGCCAAAGCCTGGACTGTCTGCACAATCAAAAGCTCACATCCCTGATGAACTATCATGTTTGACAGTCAACTTACCTTTCTGGCAGTGATTGGAACTCCAGCAGCGGTAGTTGTAGTTGTTGTTGAAGATGGTCTTTCTGCACTGGGGGTTGTTCTCCATGATGCCTGGACAAACATCGCTGCACTCCTTGGCCTGCTTGTTCCCTGCAATATAATTGTTGAACTCGGCATCCATGATGAGGGACCAATCTATGGAGTCCAGGTAGCAGAGCTCAGGGTTCTTTTCAATGCGGATGGCGCCACGGGTGATGTTTCTCAGGTTGTACAGGCCAATGTCCTTCAGGCTGGTCATCTCAAAGATCACAAGGGCATAGTTGTAGAAGAGGTTACGTCCACGGATTACGGTGAGGTTCGGAAAGATCAGACTGTCCAAGCCTGACACCCGGAATAGCAGCAGATAGTCAGTGATCATAGTTAGCTTTGGGAAGCTGAGGGAGCGGAAGACTTCCTGGTTGATGTTATTGTTGTTTTTGTCACCGATGAGTAGGATCTGCAAATAGCCCTCCACCACAGTGCAATTCTCCAGGCTCCTGAATTCACTGATATCGTTGCCAATGTCAATGCTGGGACCACAAACTATAGGGGAAAGCAAAAGCAGAGGGTGAGATGTCTGTGTAAGGCCAGATATTCACTATCCAATTTATTTTATTAAACTTTTATTTTACCAGTGGGAAAAAAACATTGATGGCCATGGAAAAAAAGTTGAAACATCAATCTAATATCTAATTTTCTCCACTCTGTTTGTCTCTGGCAGACAATGTTTGCTGTGCAATTCTCGTTTTCAATGCAAACTTAACATGCTATGACAAAATAAATACTTGGCTCAGGTTCTATTCAAGCTCAAGTTAAAGAGTGCAATAAAGTCGAGATTGCTCTGCCTTCAGGCTATTGTTGCTTTTGTCTCTCTATAATTTAACAACCAATTTTTTCTTTCACTGTCTGCTTTTATGAAGCGTTCAGAACACAACATCAAAGGCCTAGACACTATTCTGCTATAAAAGGCATCATCCATAAAACATATACACACACAGTTATATTGCCATTAAACTGACCCTTCATTATGACAGCTTTGCCTTTTTACATTAAACCAAACAAAACCATCAGAATGCCACCTGTTCCTTTTAGTTGGCTGATGGCATATAACACACAGGTCAGAAATTTCAAGCATATCGATGTTGCTTGCAAGATCATATCAAGTAAACCAAGCATGAATGTGCTTTTGCTAGTCTTGCACATTTACAACATATTTAGGACAAAAGCAAAGTTGTTGTGCATTGTATATACCATATAATGTTTACAGTTGTGGGTTTATGCAAGTATTATTTTAATAAAACAAAAACTGGAGGAGAGAAACCTCACTGACTGCTAACAGAAATAATACATCAAAATTTTACATCCCTTCACTGCCAAGCTGCCTCTCCCCTTTTACACAGACATTGAGTACACATGTAACTTTACTACCCCCACTGTTAGCGTAATGCATGGTCAACAATGTTCCCCATCCTGGATTTGTACCTTCTACACAAAAAAGGCATGGCAGCAAAAGGTCCTCATAAACCCACCTGCAACAGGCAACATAAAAAGGGCTAGTGTTTTGTGCGGAATGTTAATATGCTCACAATGACACATAATAATAACGTGTTAATGGTTACACATACAATGTTTACAATGTTCTTTAGCAGTAAAATCAAAACATACGAACAAAATAACATAAGCTTCATAGACAACTGGAAAACATTTTGGGGAAAACCTGGTCTGATTAGTAGAGATGGCATCCATCCCACTTTGGGTGGTGCAGCTCTCTTATCTAGAAATCTGGACGAGTTTGTTTTACAACCTAGATTATGACAACCCAGAGTTGAGTCCAGGATGCAGGGTCGCAGTCTTACACGCCTCTCTGCTGTCTCCTTGCAGCTGCTACCCACCCAACGCTCCCAGTACCCCATAGAGACTGTGTCTGCCCCCCACCCAACTAAATTATATAAATCAAGAATCAACTCCAGAGGAGTTATTCATAAGAACCTAATTAAAATTAAGACGACTCCTCTTATAGAAGAAAGTAATAGGACAATCAAATGTGGACTATTAAATATCAGATCTCTCTCATCTAAATCTTTGTTAGTGAATGATTTGATAAGTGAACATCACATTGACTTATTGTGTCTTACTGAAACATGGTTACAGCAGGAAGAATATGCCAGCCTAAATGAATCCACTCCACCTAGGCACAGTAACTGTCACATCCCTCAAAACACAGGCCGAGGTGGTGGCGTGGCAGCGATCTTTGACTCAAGCCTATTAATCAACCCTAGACCTAAACATAGCTATAAACTCATTTGAAAGTCTCACCCTGAGTCTCTCACACCCAAACTGGAAAACTCAAAAGCCTGTTCTGTTTGTTATTGTATACCGTCCACCTGCTCCTTATTCAGAGTTTTTAAGTGAATTCTCAGACTTTCTGTCTGATTTAGTACTTAGTACAGATAAAATAATCATAGTAGGCGACTTTAATATTCATGTAGATGCCGACAATGACAGCCTCAACAATGCATTCTGTTCATTATTAGACTCAGTTGGCTTCTCTCAAACTAAATAAACCCACTCACTGTTTTAATCACACTCTTGATCTCGTTCTGACATATGGCATCGAAACTGAACACTTAATAGTTTTTCCCCATAACCCTCTTCTGTCTGACCATTTTCTAATAACTTTTGAATTTAAATTAATAGATTATACTCTATGTGGGAAACAATTCCACTACAGCAGATGTCCATCTGGCAATGCTGTTACCAAGTTTAAGGAAATAATTCCATCTTTATCTACTTCAGTGCCATTTGCCAACACAGTGGAAGGAGGCCACCTTAACTTGACT